TCTGGTGAATAAAATTTAGCTTTAGAAAACTCAAAAGCTATTACCAAGTTTTACATTAAATTTTTTATCTGCTGGGTAAACTTAAAAACAACTAAATAATGGTATATATCAAAACGCTACAAGTTATGAAAAAATTCTTTTGTTTTAAGCGATGGTGTTGTTTGTTAAGTGCTCTGTATTTTGGATAAAAACTCAAGGTAAAGCGAAGTAGACAAGACGAGATTCTAAATAATCAGAATGAGAAACATTATCAAATTGAGAAGCTGTACAATGAGGTCAGTAGGCTTAAATTCATTCCGAGACCTAGTTTCAACCCGAAAATCCTTTAATAATTTAAAGTCCATAATAAGTTTGAAATAACTTACATTTCTTATTAGCAGTACTTTCGAATTCGTAGCAAAACAGCTTTGTAAAAACGTGATATTATATCAAGAAGAACAAGGACTAATCGAACACTAGTCGATTTAATAATTGATTTCTATTTGACATTTTTTTATGGTTCAACGTTCACCCATTTCTACTGCAGTAAAATGGGAAAAAATACTATATTCCTCATTACCATGTATTAACATGGTGCTTATATTGCCCCCCTTCTCAAGACAGCTCGACACCAGCGAGGTAAGCTCTGCGCCAGCTTCTATTATGGAATATTCCGCTTCCTTAATTTCAGCCCAAATATCATCCAAATTTTTGATTTTTCGTTCAACGATCTTAACTTTTGCATTACCCCAGAGGTTTTCCGTCGGGTGAAGATTTGCACTTTACGCTGATCATTTTCATACATTAATATATTCGGTATATAACCAATACTTTACTGTTCTAGCTTTATGTTTCGAAACATAATCATGCATGAATATCTAGTTTACGGGCATTGATTCAAATGAGAATGGCTCCATTGTGTGTCTGAGAACGTTTAAATATGAATTCATTCAACTATCCATTTTAAACAACGCTGTCCCTCCATACCTCGAAGTCTCACCCCCCACCACGATATTAAATTAACTATGTTTAACTAACGTTTTACTATCAGATCAAGTTCGATTCAATTTAGTTTCATTGCTCCATAATACTATTTTTTAAAAAATTCCATCAATCCCTCCATGAGCTATTGTTTTTATAAAACCGCGTTTTTCAGCTGATGCAACCATAAAGGTGATTGTTATTGGCACGTCTTCTGGCCAGCTCGTTGGATATGTGGCTTAACATTGTTTATTAAATTCGTGGATAATTCCGCGGGAGGACTTAAATTTATCAACCTTTGACTTAAATGTATCACATTTGGTTGATCAACTTTGCAATTGGTTTTACGTGAGGGAGCCTTCTATATTTTATTATTCATTTTTGACGCTGGATTAGAATTAACTGATGTAAAAATATTATACATCATTTATCGTCAACATTTTAATATTCATGCTATTTGAGAAGGATTTTTCCCGTTTCCCAAGAGTTCGTATATAATATGTCGCGGTGTACAATGCATTCCGCTTTTTTTCATTATTTATGAAAACTAGAAGTTCACACTTAGAGCAATAATTTTTTCCCACAAGTTTCGGTTTTCAATTGTTAAATGATCAATAGTAGCCAAGTGTAGTTTGCCGCTGAACAGCTGAAAAGAGCAACTTGTCGCAAGAAATCGCCAGCAACAATATCCTAAGCATGATCACGAGACATGATTTACCGTCACACATTACCCGAGACAACACAAATACTCAGCCGAAAAATAAAGCTTTGAATAAGAAATAGGAAACATTGTACCTCAAATATTCTATATATATATACACCAAATATATAAATATTTAATATAAATACACCAAAAACTGTAGTTGAGATTAGAGATGAAGATACAAACGCGAAATATTGAAATATTATTTTATCTCTAAAAAACCAAATCTGCTATCAAATCTGCCACGAAAAAATAGCTTCATTTAAAAAAGGAATCAAATTGTTAAACCAGCAACGTGTTGGTGTATGAAAGTATGGTAAACAACATACGACCCGCATAGAAAGAGGGAAAAAAAAAAAAAAAAAAAAAAAAAAAAAAAAAAAAAAAAAAAAAAAAAAAAAAAAAAAAAAAAAAAAAAAAAAAAAAAAAAAAACTAAATGCCTTGCGCTGAATCAAACCATCCATAAACAAGAAAGCAATAAAAAATCACAAATCAGACAATGTGCAAACGTAAAAAAGGGGAGAATTCATGTTGAAAGAGCGCATTAGACATCTGAGCAATGCCAGTCGGCAAGCAGCTCAGTGAGGTTGCCACCATCTAATCATCACCTTGGCCACAAGCCGAGTTGAGCTGAACTGCCTAAGCGTAGGCAAACATAAGAGTTGCAGAACGGATTTCACACACAAACACATCAACACGCATACACCTTGCAACCAATCGTCATAAATATGAATGGGCTGCTGCGCTATTGAATCTGTCGAGAATCAATATAAATGTGTCATAAATTTCAAATTTCGCCAACCCCAACCACTGATTTTGTTGCTAAAGCATTCGCTGATATGCTCCACCAGCACTCAACCAAAAATATGTACATGTGTATGTACGTATGTGTTTTCAGCTTGAAATGCCATGCAAAGGTGAGACAGCGGCTGCTTTGTTGATCCTAGGCAGAAGCACAGTTATGTAGAAGCAAATTTGACTGTGTGTTGGCGCAGAAGTATTCCGATTCGAATTCGTATAAATTATGGCAGCAGCGAGTCATAAGGTTTTACCTCCATTTTATATATGCAGCGTTGATATTGTAATTTTTTATGCTTTATGTTTTTTTGCTTTACTTTTTTGATTCTTTTTGCAAGTTTTTATGTGGAAAATGCATATTTTCGCCAGGAAGCTCGTTGTTGAACTGCTGGCTTTGGGTGTGTTCCCCCAATGGTTGCTTCAGCCATCAAGCAATGGTGTGGGGTGCGAAGACGAAGCATTGGGTGGAAACCAGGACCGATTTTGTCTGGCAGTGCTAAATTCCTTTTTTATTTGTTGGACTTTTCTTGGATCGCAATGCGATTTATTCTGTGATTGTTTGCAAGTGCTAGTATTCAAGCATACCGTAGTAGTGTGTGAGTGAATGTGCGCCTGATTTCTTTTGCCTAAGCAATGTTTATTTATTGGTGTCGCGCACATAAAGTTTCTCAGCCGCCGCCAGTGTAGCCACAGATATTGAAAAATATTGCAGTTTATGGAAAGTACGACATAGAAAAAATGTGTGGCAAAATCATCGAAAGTGTCTGCTAGGAATAATTGCCTTCAAGAGTGGAGATAAATCCTAAAATATTACACAGTAAGAAATTTAGTTGAATTTAGAATATGGTCAGAAAATTGTATAAAATATATAAAATATAATATAAAATATATCGTCACCTAAAATTCAAGCCAATAATCAAAAACAATCGAAATTGAGTTTTTTCTACATCATATTACATACATGTGCTACTGTGATCAAATTGAAAGGTGAATTTTGTGAATATTCATCTCCTTCAAAGTAATCCCATAGATGGAATACTCAAAAACGAATTTGTCTAAAATTTTGCATTTTTAAGAAAATTTCGTGTGCGGAACCGTTGCGAATGATAGCACAGGCTTACGGTGAGTCAGTTTTATCAAAATCACAAGCCTACGACTTGTATAATGCCTTCAAAGAATATCGAGAGATCGTTTTGGACGACCTTCGGCCTTTCAATTGGTGAAAATATAAAAAAAAGTGTAGAATATGGTACTTGTGTTATAGAAAGGCCAAGAGAGCTCACATCTCTCGCGAGTCCGTTCGAATGAGTTTCGTGGATATCAATATGAAACTCGTTCTTGCTGGAGTCGTCCCGAAAAAACTGATTTTTTCCAAAAAGAGTACCGTAAACTATGATCCCACTTTCGTTGAGAGCATTGTAACTACTAAAGCGACATGGGTTTATGAGTTTGACATGAAAACAATTCAAAAATCCTCGTAATGGAGAAAAAAAGAGCCGAAGCCAAGAAAACACACCAAAGTCGCTCAAAAATCAAGATGATGCTCCTTGTTTTTTCGATATGCATGGTTTGGTGCATCATGAATTTGTTCCGGAAGGAAAGACTGTTAATAAAGAGTTAATTTTGGGCCTTTACGTGAGAACATTCATTGAAAACGTCCGGAATGGTGGAAGTGCAATTAATGGATTTTACACGATGTTAATCCAACGTAATGAATACCATCGATCAAACACCCTATTCACCAGGCTTGGCTCCCAAACAACATTTTTAAAAGCTTTTCGAGGAGTATCTCACTTTAACTAGTTTCATCCAAAATATTTTCACCATACATATGTATAAATGAAGCAATTAATAATGATATACTTTTCTATAAACAAAAAAAAAAAAAAAAAGAAAACAATATTTACAAAACGCGTGTTCCATCTGTTTTCTGTGAGTGCAGAAGAAGACTGCAATTGAAATCAAGTGAAGCAAAGTCTGTTTCTAACAACGGCCTGCAGCTTACGCTGGATATAAATGCGGATTTTATTTAAAGTTCACAATTGAAAAACAGATCTGTGGATAAATGTTGGCGAACACAGTGTGGAAATAAACGCTTCTGCAAGTGAATATGTATGTGTGTGTGCGCATTTGCATGCCGATTTCGCTTAGACGCAGATATAAATCAAAATTCAGGCCGATTGTCGGCATTTGAGCGTGAAAATGTGGCTACCGCACAGCACGCAGTGGCAGAAGAAAGATGCCATAAAACGACGGCATAATAAAAACTGGATAAGCGAAGGCTGTAAAACATTTTCGATTCAGCGCGAATGTATGTGAAATTGTAAAGGATTTCCTAACATTACGAAAACTTAAAGCACCAACTTAAAGCGGATTTTCGAGAGCAGTAAAGTACAAAGCAAGAGCTTGCGACTTTCAAGTTGGTGAAGACCTTCCGATTGTGTTTATGAGAATTAGAAAAAATTCACAAAAAATGTTTGGAAAAAAAAATTAAATATACAAATTTTTGGTGACCGTTATTTGGTCTCGATTACGTACCGAAAGATCGCCTCCATAGAAGGGATGTATAACGAATGTTTCGTTGCCGATGTGTATGACGCCGCTGACACCATTGCACGTATGGAAGGCGGCGCTAGCACCAGGATAGTCCTTAACGGTGCCATGGTAATAGCAATGCTCAATGTCCTGCAAAAGAGAGCGAGAGTAGAGATATAGAATAAAATAGAAATATAATTCATTTAATTTATTGTAATAAATGCTAGCGAAATAATTAAAAGCGACAGCAAGTGCAACCACAAATCCATAATAAATGAACACGAATGAATAGGTGGATTGAGCTTTAAAATGTAATATGCTTTTATGCAAATTTAATTAAATATAGCAGCAGAAATGCTGCCAATGAATTTATAATAATATTTCAAATTTAATCATTTGTAATAATGCGTGATATTATATCATATCACTTTCAATGTGTGGTTAAGCATTCGTGGTTACTAATTGTGCTTGCTGCCGGCAACATTTTGAAATTTGAATTGAATGATCACACTGATAGGTAGCAAATTTTATTTATTAATTTACTTATTTTATAAACATACATAAAATAATGAATGTATTTTCCTTAATTATACGTCATAACTGTTAATGTGGATTGGCTCAGTAAGTATATAATATACAATAACATAGATTTAAGGCTCCATATCCAGCAGAACAATTTATGAAATGCCAAAGCCCCTTTATCGCCTGAACCATGTATACGTTCACTATTTGCACAATTAATGGCAAATTTATTCTTTGAATACTTCTTAAAAGTGGTTTTTATTTTGTTAACAAAAATAAATTTATAAATTGTAGAATTTCTTGGAGGGATAGCATTTACTCTAGCAGCTGTCAATCCTTGTTTAGTATATATATTTTTTCTTTTATAGTAGCAGGAAGCAAAAGCCAAAGTACGGAGCTTTAATCCGCTAAATCTAACTAACTTCCAACTCATATCTCTCCCACGGAATCATTGGATTAATTATTACTTCAAGGCTTTAAGCATCTATCATACGGACTGATTCACGCTTAATATACTGCATATGTTTTAGTTTTGTCATAATCAGAGCTGACGCTTCGCTGAAAGCTTTCAATTTACCAGAGGACTGGAACATGAGAGTTGTAAAATTTTCCACCGCTACACTATGTGCACGTCGGGGAGTAGGGACTATGGTTATGATGGAATCGGAACAGATAGCTTCTAAAGCATCCATGACTACCCAGTATTTGGGTTAAGTATAAGTCTAAGTTCACAACTTGTCTATCTATTCTCGGGATAAGTCTGTGGGTCCACAGTCCTTTGGTTGAGGTTTGCTGTTGCTGCTACATTATGATGCATTTTCTTTTCTCCTCTTTTTTACGCCTAGAGACGACTCTGATAACTGGTCCAATCGCGCGAATTCATCTCAGCGTTTATTTGTTCTGCATATATTGTATATCTAATTCCTCTATTCATGTTGGTGCTGCAAATAAAATTACGGAACTTATTGCATTTCTCGCCGCCTGGAATGCACGCAGCCCCCATTGGACATCATCTTGATAGAGCATTGCATATTTTGTTTGCATTACCCGAAGTGAATGCCAGGTGTTCCTCAAATTTTAATTTGGAGTCCAATATTACTATAATATCGCATTCGCTTATGATGAGTGATACCCTTTCCTCCACCTTCCTTGTGCCTTTGAGTGAAACTTCCGTTTTCTGCTCAGCCAACTCAAAACTCATGGTAGCAAATCGTTTATGCTAACGTTGTATTGTCGGAGGTCATCCAGATGTTTAGCTACTGGATATTCTTAACACCCCCTCGTACATAAAGTTCAATAATAGAGGGCCTAGGACGGTGCATTGCGGTACTCCACCCGAGATAGTTCAGCCCCGTGTCGAATAACAATCTCCTATTTTCGAAATATAGTATATTTGGCTAATGACCTTTGCGAGGTTGTTTGGTTGCGTAAGGGAGGAAAAACTATCAAATTTCAAGTGCAAATAATACCGAACGGTCTAAGCTATTTTTCTTCCAGGAATAATTACTTAATTGTAAATTTAATGAGCGATTCATCAACAATGGGTCCTTCAATGTTATAATAGCCTCTATAACGGAGAATGCATTGGATGACCACAGAGGTTGTTACCGACGAAAGTAACAATAATGTCTACAACAAAGATTTGAATCACCGTGAATTGAAGTTTTTCGAGATAACAGGTACTCCAAAGATATTAACTGAACGTGAACTTACATCACGCACCATTCTCTGTACATAGTAGGTGCCCCGCGAACTCTTTACCGAAAGTAACGACGAGTTGCTGATTCAGAGCAATGTTTGAAGATGTTCAAGCGAAACAAACCTGAGACCTTGTATCAATAGGTGATAATAAATAAAACATGTGTCCATCATTTCATTCCGAAGTCCAATCGCCAGTGATCCGAGTAAACTGCACACGATGAATCATGTGGAAAAACGCAGCAATTAGCTGGCAAGGATATGGCGATAGCTATAATCAGCGTGAAATGAACTATGCAAAATAAAAAAAGGAACTTTGCAAAAAAATATGGTTTACTGTGGTAGGCCGGGGACTTTTAAATTGAAAGAGTCCCTGTGAGTTAAGAGAGGGCACATATAGACCTAAGGACGCGGGGCATTCTTATTTTTTTCTGGTATTTTATACCTCTAACTCAACTTCATTCAACTGCTAGAGGTCACAGAAGGTGCCTAAATGATATTAAATTGGACAATAGCTGTTATTAGCTACCTTTGTATCACTTTTAAATTAAAGAAGAAAGTAGAGAATAAGACTGTAGCAAAAGCTGTCAGAAAAAAACATAATAAATAAATTAATCGGCGAAAATAACAAATTCCATAGCAACATTTGTAAATAGTATACCACATAGAGTATATATATATAACCTTTACAAGTTAAAAAGTTATCAATACAAGAACTTGATTTTGAACATTCATTTTGGTGCCTATACCCTATAAAAGTTCTACACGGAAATCGGTTCTAAGGAATGAACAGCTTCTTGAAAAGAAAATTACGTTTGCAAATTTTAAAACGATATCTCAAAGACTGAGGAACTAGGTTGCATATAACCAGACAGGCGGACAGACGAATATTGCTAAAACGACTCAGCACACCAGGGTGATCATTTATATATGTATGAATATATGAAGTATTGTATATACTTTTTATGTTCTCTATCGCTTCCTTCTGGCTGTTACGAACATAGTGGCCCAAGCTGATGTGAAATTGTTGTATAATATTAGTATTCAGTGCTTTTTTCTCAATTTTACGCTAATCTTCCCTTACATGGCATTGTATAGAGCATCAACAATTTTCAATATGTTTATTACATACATACAAATGTACGTGGGCGAGTGAATTTGTGTATACATGTTCAATTAGAAATAATGAAAAATCCCTTTGTAGACATTTACCCATACTTGCTTGAATGAAATTAAATTATTTGCCAATCTAATTTCCTCATTTCAATTGGATCTTTGATTTTGGCATGCGGACATGCAAGCAACAGCCATCAACATTCCCACATACCTGCTAACACACGGGCCAGGGGATGAGTGGGAGTATCTTTTAATACTCTGCTGCTCATTGCCTGTTGAGTAAACAGAGCAAGGGGAACTAAAGTATATACACATATGCCATACAGTCACATACAGGTTTTGCACTTTTTGTCTCAATCTACATGTGTTTGCATACGTTTTTCTATGCATGTATGTATATAAAGGTATACAGTAAGTATGCGTTTGCGTTACGAACACCGCCCACAATGCTGAGAATTTGAAATTTTGTCGCCGGAGCTCTGAGATAGGTAAAGATCAAAATAAATTCAAAGTGAAGTAAGTAAAAAAAAAAAAGCCATATACACTGCTGGTCAATAGGTTAGACGCACGTTTAATTGCATTACAATTGTTTAAATATTTATTATTTCAATGATGATTGAAAAAAAGTTGAAATGCAGAAACATAGATAAATTAGTGGTAAATATAATATTCAAATATTTATTCGAACTTAAAAAAATTGTGTTTTTCAAACATTTTACTACTTACTTATTTAGCTACTCAAAAAAATGTGCATTTTCTTGGTCATTGGAATAGACGCAGATAAGCTTTTAAATTTTTTTTACGGAAAGAACATTTTTTAATTTAATTTTTTAGTTCGCATAACTATATATTTGATTTATTAGAAATTAAAAAATTGTAATTTCTGTATTGAGTACTTCCTCCTTTGCTAGTAATAACTTCATTTATCCAGTCATTCATAGAATAATGCAGGGAATCTATCAAGAAAATCTCCCTCCAAGCATGATTAATAGCTGCAGTTAATGCTTCCTTATCTCCGTATTGCTTTCCTCCTTCGTATACTTTCCATGTTAGCCAGCCCCAAAAATTTTCAATTATGTTAAGATCTGGAGAATATGGCGGCCAGGTCTTGACATTAACCTTTTGACTCAAAATAAACGACTACCATTAAAATACGTTATGAATGGGAGCATTGTCTTGTTGACAAATCCAAGGAATTGATCCAAAGAGATCTCTTAGTTGTGGAAATACGGACTGCAATAATGTTTTGGAGCGAGCGCCGTTCACTCATCTTCTAATCGATAAAAACCAAGTCAAACGTTGCATAAAACGTGATGGTAACCTACACCATGACTCCACCTACTCGGCTGTGGTTTCGAAATATCTTTGCACAACATCTTTCCGCAAATCGTATTGCAAGCCATCAGGGCCATCTAAATGAAAACGTTTTTCGAAGCCATTTTACTTTGCGTAGCTCATTTGGAGGGGTTTTTTTTCTTGATTTTTAAACGCTTTAGGTGTTTTACATTTCTGGCTGTACGCTGAACAGTCGAAAGACTCCGGCTAATTCTTTTACTCTGGCTAATTCGTTAATCTTAGCTGCAGACTTAGTCGAATTTGAAGCAATTCTAAGATCCGGCTTTCTTTTTTTCCATATTCCTCTGGATCCTTTGAATATCTATCAACGGTTCTGGAGCTACGTTTTATCTGTTTGGCGATGCTTCGATTGCATAGCCCTCGGGAGTGGAAAGGTCTACTTTTTCACGTTCCAATAAGCTCAGAATAGTAGCTTTTCCCATTATTACCTTAAATGTAGCTCGAAAACCATTTATTTG